ATATGGATGGACAACCTTAGTTTAGCTTGTTAGTTTGTCGCGCAAGCACCGAGCTAATACATATAAGGCAATATAGCGTCGGCACTAGCGCAAAGGCTAAGAAACTAAGTTGGGGTTCTTCTTCCATGAAGCAGCTCTGTTGTCCTCCATCCATATTTTCAGTTCCAGGCTGAGTCATTTCTACCTTCTCCTCTCTGACAAGGAGCTCTGGTTTCATTTAAAAGGACTGGTTGTCAGATATTGTCCAAGATTAACCTCCAGGATGGATAAGAGCCTGCACAGTTTTGCACCGGAAAACTTAGTGAACATCATTATTTCTGGTATGGTTTGCAACATTAATAAAACGGCTCCATCTGTGTGACAATATATAAATTTAAATTTATAAAAACTAAACAGCCTACAGCATTTTTACAATCTTTGTTTTACAGTTAAATGTGTTAAAGCAAATAATGTCTAATGTCAGAACTCACTTAAATTTTGAAGTAAAGAAGTATAAGAATCATTGTATGTTTTAAATGTTATGAAATAAAGGTAAAAGTTACGATAAATACTTGTTAAAATTAAAAATCCTCTAAAACAAAAGAAGTTAAATAAAATAAAATGCAAAGTAAATGTACTTTGTTACTATACAACTCTGAAAACCAGAGGGGAAGAAAAAGTCATTTATGTTGTTGCGGTGCGGATCGCTACCTGACGGCACAGAGGTGGGGCTAAAGGGGGCGTAGAGCTCAGCAGGAGTGTGCTGCTGCTGGCGGCTGCTCCTGCTCGGGTCCAGGGTGTTGGCCGGTGACGGCGGCATCTGGAAGGAGACACATGACCTGATATCACCTCTGTCAAAGTCACCATCCTGCACGCGACGCGCCATCTGCAGCTTTGATGTTTTTAAGGTCCAGAACTCAACGCAAAGCAGGTTCACTCACCGAGGGCGGGGTGGACATGTCGCCGAAAAGATCGAAGTGGTTGATGTTCTGTGAGTTGAGCCACAGACCGAGAGGGAGACAAAACACATCAGTAAATGATACAACTTTAAACTGAACTTTAAGTCGGGGTGTGGTGGTTGTACGGCTGAATAGGTGTGAGGATTAAAATCTGTTCATAAAGGCACTTTGTGCTGCGAAAGGAAAAAAAACAACAACTATCCCCTCGTTTCATTATCAGATAATGGATCTAAAATGAATTTTTCATGCCTCGGTATAATTGAGTTGGTAAAAGGCTATTGGGTTCTATAAAACAGACTCTGATTAGATATTCTTATGTCTGCCAATCATGAGAGGCCCCCAGTGAGAGCCGGGGCCGCTTCACTCCACCAGCAGATATATATGTATATATAAATATATAATTACACATACACCCTGGAGTGGCTTTAATTTATCAAATGAATGACGAGGCTCCTAAAGTCGCCCATCCGAGACCATGAGGCCACCTCACCCCCACAGACAGATGTGTCACCCCCCAACACACACCCCCTCCGTAGTGCCCTCTGTCCTCTAGCAGGGTATGGAATATGTGGGATGGGAAAGTTGCACGGGATGTCTGGGGCCATGCTCAAGCAGACAATGAAGCACAGAAAATTACACGACAAAAAAGGATTTGCATGCTTTAAATAAACACAATGCGTTTAAAAAAATGAAAGAAAAGAAAAAAAACGGCAGCAGTTGTAGTTGCTGCTGACACGGTGTTTATGTCCTTTGAAAAGGTTGGACATAAATGATAAGTTTCAGTTTTGCACGGTGTGTTGTAACCATTGAGGGGCACAGAATGAGTTAGAATTTGAAAAAAAAAGGAAGAAGAAGAAGAAGAAGCAAACATTGTACACAGAGGTCTTTCCCTGCGGGCACTGACAACACATCAGGGGAGCATGAGGCTCTCAAAAAGCTCCAACTGAATGAACAGACAAGCAGTAACACTTAGAGATATGGAGGCGCCTCTACCTAAACTGGCTGTTTAGGTGAGATAGCGACGGGCCAAGGCGGGTTATCTGTCTGATATGTTAAATTACAAGCACACAAACAGCGGGGAGTACAGATGCACTGTGCTGCAGCTGAGCCGAGGCGTCGGGCAGAAAATCTCTCTTTAAGTTTGAAGAATAAACAAACAAACAAAAAAATCAATGTTAAAAACTGTCCGGCTGCTCGTGGCGGCGCAGTTTCTCGTGGCCTTGGTTGTGAATGTGACGACATCACATGCAACTCTTCCCACCTACAAACCTCTCTCATCTTCATCCTCCGAGGAAGATGAAGCAGCCAGTCCTTTATCTGCAGTATGGAAGCGGCTCAGTGTTCCAGTCCGACGGGAACAGTAAACAGATTGTTTTCTTTTAGTCTCGACCATCTGTTTATGATACACAAGGCTGAATTTAAAGCCTGCCTATCTAATGTTCTGTGTAATTACTGTTGACTTGGACTGTGGTCGATCAGCCAGTTTTAACTCTTCGTAGCTCAGAACAGCATGAAGCAGCTGAAGGCTCCTGTCTGTCTTTCATTTCATCAGTTTTTCTTTTGAGCCTCCTGACTGCCATATGATAGTTTTGACTGAAGGCTGTCAGCAATGGCCTCCAGCATTTCCTCTAAGGTGGTCCTATAGAGAGGTTTGTAAGTAGTAAAGAAGAACAGAACAAATAATAAAAATGAAAACACCTACAGTCATGAAATGGCGTTTTGGGACATCATAGACCCCTTCCTTCTGCTGACTGGTTGGGACCTGCGTTGGATTGGATGCCGATTAAAACGGAAGCCACAGATCAACAACATTTTGTTCAGCTGGGCACACAAAAGTGGACAAAAAAAAAACATCTCTATTGAAAAAAAAAACGTAATAAATCAATTTATATCCAGATAATTAATTGGGATTTAGGTTTATCTTTTAGCAGAACAGGATTCTGCAAATTCCACAGTTGTGCAGCTGAATCAATTCTGCTTAAATCGATATTGATTGTAAACAAAGGTTGAAGGAAAGTGCAAAGAGAACTTTGATTTGTTCAACCTTTTTTTAGCTTTTTAAACCTGCAGTGCTTTATTTTGCCGTTTTCAGTGACCATGCATTAAGATACCTTGATGGTGACAGACTCCATCATCTCTCTCTACTAATTTAACCATTTTTAAGCTAAACTTCTTCAACTGTACTGTAAAACCTCTTGTTACTTTCATTTTTTTTTACAGGATATAAAGAGTAAAAAAGGTGGGGCAGTGCTTTTCTTGTACCTGATAAACGCTCTCCTCTGACTGGGGGCCACGGAGGGGTTCGTGTCCAGCCTCAAACACTATGTACTACAGAACAGAAGTAGTGGACAAGGCAAAGAGATGCAGGAAATAATGAGATGGAGAGACAGATAGAGAGAGAGGACAGCATATAAAACAGAAAGGAAGGAGATGAAGACACGAGTAGAATAAATAAATGAAAACATGAAGAAGCAACGGTGGCCATGAGAGGGAAGTGAAAGTAGATCAGAGGGGGGAAGGGTGTGAAAAGTGGGGCATGTGTAAGAGGGGGAAGATAAAAAAGAAAGAGTGAGGTGGGAAGAGGGAAGAGCACAAGTAGAACAGGTCAGGCAGAAGTTTAAGACAATGTGGAGGTCTTAGCTAGAGGTTAGCCTTCAACCTCAGCAATTTCATGAAGCTAAAGGTTTTCTTTATTTTATTGAGTTGGCATCAAAAGTAAACAAAAGATCTGTGTAAAAAGAAAGCCTGTGGATGGCATAAACCTTTATTAAACCCAGAAAAGTCCCACTGAGATCACAGATCTCTGTTTCAAGGGCTCGCTGGGCCTGAAGGCAGCCTAACAGGCATGTTTTTGGAGTGTGGCAGGAAACCGAAGGACCCGGAGAAAACCCACAATGAGAACATGCAAACTAAGAAAAACACCGGGTCAATCATAGGGCTTGAACCCAGGAGAGATCTTCTGTGAGGCAACAGGGCTAACCTCTAATCCACTGTGCAAATATGTGGGAAATATTTGTTTCTGTGAAATCTACAGTAGATTTAATGATTGGGAGTATGAGTGTTCTGTTCAGGATCTTAGATGTTGCTAGGACTGAGCTCTTCAGGACAGAGATCTCTGAGGTTGTTCCTGGGATCTGTTGGAGCCACCTTACTTAGCCTCAGACTACTGACGCTTTGACTCTCCACAATTTCTCTATTTGTTCTTCCAACCCATTGTATTTCTCCAGCTGTTCCTCCTTCCTGATGGCACAGTTTCTCAGGATCTCTACTTCTATCACCACTGCCGTCTTCTCTTGCTTGTTGACCACAATGTCCAGTTAGCCATCACCTGTTCATTGGTCTCACAGTATCTTAGCTTTTTCAATTCTCCACCACCTTTATGCCACTTTGACCCTGGGACCTTCAATCCATATGGTACCAATACTCCTAGTTCCACCCTTGTTTCCTTCAAATGTACATTTCCACTGAAGGGTTCGAGTAGTGTGTCCCAATTCTCCCGAGTGGTCTTTCAACCCACCCCCTTTGCACCTTTTTATTTCGGCTGAGTGTATTACCCACAATTCATCACTGCATGGGATGTTTTGAATGAAAAGGCAGACATTTGGCAATGTCCAGTGAGAACCTTCCAGTCTAGTGGTGGCAGTAATGTAAATTAGTCTGCCAATCAAAAATAAAAAAGAAGAATGTCCACTGAGCAAGATGGCGAGGGTTTGGTGTATAAGCCTCCTTCGGTTCAAGCGCTTTCTTCTCCTAAAGTCGATTGCTTGTTGTAGTTGTACTATCATTTTTAATAGTACAAATTCCAAAATAACGGTCCCGTCATTTTGGATGTCACAGTTACGATGCAGATACGTAAGTCAATTGCGTAAAGCGTACTGTCCCAACCTGCACACTCGAACACTTATGTGCACTTTGACTGATATCACACTTCATAAAGGGGTATAGGGTGTGGTGCTAGTATTGGGACCAGGCCCAGTTCAAGTAGGTGGCTGTGGCAGAGTTGTTAGGAGTTGTCCTGTAATCAGTAGGTTTGATTTCCTCTGCATCTGTCTCGGCCGTGTCCTTGGGCAAGACACTTCACCTGTTTGCCTTCGCCTTGTCGATTAATAGTGGTCAGAGGATCCGGTGCATGGCAGCCTCACCTCTTTCAGTCTGCCTCAGGGCAGCTGTGGCTACAATGTAGCTTACTACATTCAGTGTGTGAATGGGTGAATGACTGTAGTGTAATGTGTTTTGGAGTCTGTAGGGACCTGATAGAGTGCTATTTAAGTCCAGGCCATTACCATTTTACCATTCACTATGTATCCAACATTTTGGTTATTGCAGTCCATGTGTGGTTTGCCTGTCTGCATCTTACATGGCTAGGAACTGCTAACTCAAACTGGGGTCATTGTTGAACGTTGGAAGTAGCTCTTCAAGGATCTCTTTAATTCAGTCACTATGTCCACTTTTGAGCAGGTAAAGGCTTGGTGTGGGTGGGGGTCTGTTATCATGCAGAGGTCACTGAGGTAGTCAAAAAACTCTTGGATGGCATGGCACCAGGGGTAGATGAGATTTAGACTGAGACGCTGAAGACATTGAGGGGATGTAATGCATGGATTAGAATCCTCAGGGTCTCGCCATTCTTTTTTGTGGATTATGTGGTTTTGTTGGCATCTTCAGTGTCAAATGGACCAACAGTGGCAGACTAAGATTGTGGTTCCAAGTTTTAAAAAGTGGAATCTGAAGTGTGTTCCAAATATTGAGGGATCACATGTTCTCAGGCTCTGACCGATTGTTGAACCTCAGATTCAAGAGGAGCAGTGTAGCTTACTTACGTTAGTCATCCTTCATAGGAGATGACCTATGACCTATTATGGTCAAAGGTTTTCTCTTGCTAATGTTCCAATGTGGACTCAACTCCTATATTGTTTTTTATTGTAGATCTGGAGAAGGCTTATTTAATGTGTTCCTGAACATATCCTGAACAGGTTGCTGGGAGTATGCCGAAGTATGAGGTGTCGGGGTTGCCTGGAGTGGTTCCTCATTCTTGGTGCAAAGTCGAGCTCATTCTCGGTCAGGTTGAACTTTGGCAGGGCTGTTCCTTGTCTCTGATCCTGCTTGTGGTGCTGTGGACAGGGTTGTAAGGTGCATTTGTGGAAAAGCGGGTGTCTGGTTTAGAATCCTTAGGGTCTCACCATTCCTTTATGTGGATGATGTGGTTTTGTTGGCTTCTTCAGACCATGACCTTCAAAGAGCACTGGGACTGTTTGCAGTCATGCGAGGCAATGGTTCTCAATTGGAAATGAGATTTTGCCTCAAGTGAAGGATTTCAAGAATCTGGGAGTCTTCTTTGTGAGTTATGGTAGGATAGAGTGAGAGCTGGGTAGATAGGTCGAGGCCTCATCCACAGTAGTAAGGGCATTGCTTCGGTTGGTTGTGAAAGAGTTGAGTTAAAAAAAAAAGCTCTGAATTTATTGGACTGTCTAATAGGAATGTCATTTTTTCTCTCGTAGACCTGTTGCCTCTGGGACAAAACCATGGATATGCAATGTGTATGTTTGTGTATATACTGTATAAAGTATTTATTTTTTGTTTCTTGACATGGTCTGGAGTTTTGTCAACCAACACTGAAAGCTACAAATGGAATGACTTCACATAAAAAGACGCTTCAAGAGCAAAAACAGAGATGATCCAGGAGGCGGCTGTACCAGCGTACAGCAGCATTCAGAGTAAGAGTTAGTGTTGTCTGTATTCAGTATGAGCAAACACAGAGAAAACACAAAATAATGTTCAGCCAAATAAATGCAGGGCAAACAAGTGAGGGACGAGAACATCCATTTAGGGGAAGTGAGGGCAAATCTTTCCAAGAAATCAAAACACTGACACAGATTCACTCAAAAATATGGATTTACAACACTGCACTGGCAAAATGGGAGTTGAATGGTTGAACAAAACAGCTCACTAAGATGATCTACTGTGTATTACTGGAATGGTGCAATATTATGAAATATTAATACAAGCAGATCAGTGGCTAGAAACAAAAAATAACTCAGGACCTTATGACTGAATACTAGTAAAGCTTAAAAAGAATGAAAGTCATCAGTGTTTTGTTCCCCCTCTGAGAGCCCAAACACCTACCTGGTAAACTGGATCGTCCACTTCATCCTCCAGGATGGTCTGTAGTTGGTGGAACAGAGCGCAAATGACACATTTCATTTTTCAATCTTGTTAGAAAATGAATGAGGATGGATAAAAACCAAATTATCTATTTATCTGAGTCTTTTTTCTTTGACCAATCACAAATACAGACTGACAGTCTGCTGCTGGAGTTCAATCAATATTTTATTACACCACATGCAAACATACATTTCCTAACACACATATGACTGTATTAAAACGGTATCAAAATAAACCGTAATTTGTTCATGTAAAGAATGGTTGCACATGCATAAATAATGTGGAAAAACTCCAGTTTTTATGAAGGAATTCAGAGCTGTGATTATTTTATTGTGTGAAGAAACCCGTGGCTGAGTTACTGTGTGTGTGCTCTCCTCTTAATGAAAAAATTAAACCATTAAAAAAGACGAGTTTGGCTCAGGATCCTACCTGGTAGACTGCTTGTTCACAGTGTTTGTCCTTCTGGGCCTTCTTCTCCAGCTCCTCTCGCTGTTTAATGTCATAGATGAGCGTGAAAAGGTCGCGCAGGTCGAGGATGAGAGGCTCTGCCTGGACGACAAAAGTAGAAAAAGAGGGAAGGTTTGTTAAAACTAGGGGTGAAAAAAAAAGAGGTCTTCACTGGACAGAAATGTATTAAAATGATAGGTTTAAACTTAAGAAGTGGAGTTCTGTGGAAAGATTATGAAATATCAATATCTTACCTGTTGTAGAGAATATTTTAATGACCTCAGTTTGTAAAAAATAGTTTATTCTGATCAGATTTATGGGATGAACCAAGATCAAAGTTCATCAGTATTGTTTTCAAAACTACAAGCTCAAAATTTTATTTTTATGTCACTGCTAAACAAAAACAACATATCCTAACTTTTTCAAGTAACACAAAAAGTAATGAAATAAACTGTGGTGACATCACATGCTCTCACAGGTTTGATTAGTCAGCTGATCTTAAAACCTTAGATGGATGGGAAGTTTGACCGGTCCAGTTGATTTATGCAAAAACATGACATTGTTTTTTTTTAATTCTGACATGACTGTAATAATGTGATTTATGTAAATGTTATATTATAAACCTTTAGATTGCTATCAGTGTTAAGAATATTTACAGCAAATAGCAACAGCAGCAGCTGGTTGTAGCACTTCCTATGCAGTTTTTCCAGCAGGAAAACCATCATGCAGCATTTCTGTGGGAATAATTGCACAACTGAAGTGTTAGGCTTCATAAAAAACATTTAAAAGAACCAGTCTAAACCTTTTTAAACCAGAGTTGTATTTAATAAAAAAGAAGCTTTGCTCTTGTCCATGCTCAGACTAGCTGTTAGCCCATCAGTCCTGCCAGAATAAAAGTCTTTTTCTTCAACTTGAGGTCATTTTTCAAGCATTTATAACTTTTCTGCAGAACCTGACACCAAAAGATCCCTTAAACTGTCACCACAGTTGCAACAATACTTTATCTAAACTCCTCCCCTAAATAAAAATAATGAGTTTGATCAGTCCAAAAGTAAACATGGGTGTGAAACAGCTTATTAATGAATAGTAAGAGTAGTAGTGTCTTTACTGAAGAAGGCTGACAAATTAACTACATTCCAACAGGTTGTAGACAGAAAGACACCACATTAAAACAAAGTTTCATGTTTAAAATAATATAATGACTTTAAAACAGGAGTGTCAAACTCATTTTCACTGAGCAGTGTGATGGCCCTGTTGTAATTAACTTCATGTTTAACTACAGGAATCCCCACAACGCTCATTGCTACATCTGAGAACTGCTAACTAACAATAACTGAGCTCTACATGGTATTTCCTGTATGGAAACAGTGTTTTAACATGTCCTTACAAACACTAAAAAGTACCACATGTACAACTGACTAAACATTAAATAAATATTGCAGAAATACTATTAAAAGTAAGAGTAAGCCTTATACTCACTGTTGAGATGTGGGGAGTCTTGATTTCTAAACTCTCCCACTTTCCAACAGGGATTTCCCATGCCTAATCAATATGCATTATGGGAGACGTAGTTTATGGTGAATGCTGGCTTTAAAGCAGCTTACTTTGATACATTAATGCAGGACTGTTCAACTAAATTCTCGTGGCCACAGTTACTCAAAGCCAACAGCTCGGGAGCAGCACAAGTATTATCATGCTTCATCTTTTAATTGTTTATTTTGTTATATTGACTCAGAAATTTAAAGTTTACCATTGATATAAAAATATTTTCATTTTTAATCAAGTAAAATTTGACATGTGCTTTGTTTTGTTCTTTTGCTGGACAGTTTTCTTGTTTGCCTGGGCAGCAGTGTGAGGCCGTATACTCACAGATTGAGCAGTTTTAATGGCCACAAACTTGTGGTGACCCTCCTTCCCGCAGACATAACCAAAGGCCCGGTGGTCCCTGGTGTCCTTGGCGATGTAGCTGATCTCGTGGACAGAGTGATGATGCAGAAGCACCTGGATGAAACAGAGGGGGTGGTGTTAAACCAACAGCTCCTCTGAGGACTGAAGTAGGTGACATCGTACATCGTCCTTTCTCCCACTTTCTTCTTGTTGAAGATACTGAACGTCGTCTCGTTTGATCTGATATTCTGTCTTTAAAAAAAAACAAAGCGACACAGAGCCATGCTCCGTGTTGACAGACAAAGTAGGTCAAACCCACTTGAAACATTTTTACACACTGTTGAGCCAAACGCAGTAAGAGGAGAGAAAATCTGAAGGTGCTGAGATTTCTGTTACACGAAACCTCACTGATACTAGAACTACGACAGAACTATAGAGCGCTGAATCCAGTTTGTTTGGCTCTATTTTAACATTTCCATTCAATAATTCTGTTGTCATATTAAACACTAACAGCTGCTTCACTATTAGCAGGCTGAAGCTTAATCACTGAGGAGGAGCTTTTTTTATTGGAATGTTTACCAGTTTTTAGCGGGGACCGTCGCTGGTAATGCCTCCGATTAATGTAAAATACAAAACTAATATGACAAGTGAGCTCAATTCAGCAGAGAATCATGTCAGCTTTACATAAAATATTTCCATCTAAACGCTTGCTGACACAACCTGCTGTGGAGTGATCCCCATTTCCACCCAAATCACTCAGGAGGGATATTAAGTGGGGAGGAGGTATTTTTTTATAGGCAGTAATCAGTAAATAAAACGAAGAGCATTGGGGGGCATGATTTCTAAACCAACAAATGAGCTTGTCAAAAGCAGGTGAACTCATAGGTCATGTTGGGAGGCTTAATGCTCTTTTCATTACAGGGGAAAAAAACAGATATTACTGTGGATTTTTGGCTCATTTGTTGGAGCTGCTTGGGGGTTGTGCAGCCTGCTGGTGGTCGGGGTGGAAGCTAGCAGCCAGGGGGGACAAAACAGCGTCTCAGTTTAGCTTTAACTGCAGCCGAGGTGGAGCCTTTGTGTAATTAGTATTAGCAGCAATGATCATTAAGGGGTGGAACTGAGTGCTAATTAGCGGTTAGCGTTGATGAGCAGAGTGGGCCTATCTAACCGGCGCTGTGCTGCAGGACGGGAGGCGCCGAGACCCTCGCTCATCCTGTAATGGAATAGAAAGCCTCGGAGCCTGAGGGGGGCATAGAAGTCTGACAGCACTGAGTGAAATTAAAGGGCCAATATTATATGTTTCTCAGGCATATATTTAAATACTATACGATAATAAAGTATCTATGTCACCATTAGCTGTTATTAAAATGCTGTTTTTATGTTTAAATAGAAAATAAACTTATATTCTCATCACTTCCTCTTCTAAACGCCTTGAAATTGGCCTCTGTCTCTTTAAGAACCACCTTCCGCTTCTGTCTCACC